AGTAATAATATGCTAAACACACTACACGTTTAATTTTATATTAATTATCATAAATAAAATAAAAGATGACGATATGAATTATAGTAATTACACTAATATATGTCTAATTTTATGCTAATTATTTTGAGTAAAAATAATACAAAATATAGATTTCAAAATAATTAATTACAATAAAATAAAAACAGGAGATGCATGCTTAAGGATAACCTTCGAATTCCAAAATTGGCTTAGCAATTTTTTTAAAAAATATCTTATAGACTGAGCAAGGTATAGTGTTGAAAAACGTGATGCACAACTTTTCATCTTTTCCAATCTAGCATCTGTGCATCGAACTGATAGATGAACAGTTTTTTATTATTTCTTTTTCCTCTTTCTTTATTTTCAAACAAATTCGTCAGATGCATCAAAGGGTGCCTGGGTCGAGTTCATTGCCTTCCTCTGGGGTTGACGGCAAGAGAGAAAAAACGCTCTAAGCTTGCTTTTTTCCTCAGTTTCATCTTTTATCCATCTCATGCGATTGATCCGTGTCAGGTAAATGAGAAAAATACAGAAGCTACTTTTTTTTTGAAGATTTTTTTGTTTCTCTTATTTTTTCTTCTTCTCCCTTCTCTTTCTTTGCCTAGCCCGATGGTTCTTTGAAAACCGCTTCAGGTCTCGACTCAACTCCGGTTCTCGGCTCAATAGGCGGCTCAAAACGGTTTAATGAGATCCAACTTCCCAGACGGTCTAAATATAGAAACCGAGCAGTTATATTGTCCGGTTGCCGGTTTAACCGGTTCGGTCTGATCCGGTCCGGGTTTTAAAACCTTAATAAAAAGTTAAACCATTAATTTTATTTTTATGTACATATAATATCCTAAAATTCTGACTTAATTACATTTTAACTCTTTAATTAAACTTTAAATCATCCGTAAATAAATAATAAAAAGTAGTAGTGTGAAAGTTTTATGCAAAGTTTAAGAAGGTTTGTTGCAAACTTTTAAAGAGTCTAAACAATGCAACTTACAGAGGGTACTAATTACTACTTCTGATCCTAATTATAACTAGTTGACTAATTTGAGGAGACTAAGAAAAGAAGTTAAGTTAGTTATTTATAATAAATATGTGTTGTCTTTCTTAAAATATCTTTTCTAATTAAGTGTATTGGTTATAATTATCATTGTTAGGAGGACTATCTTGAAAAAAAGCTGGTTATGCGAGTCAAATAGTGATCACTGGCGCACCGTGGTGAGGGAATTGAAGGAGCATGGAAGGAAGACTATGGACCCTTTTGGCCTTTTCTCCAAAGACTGTAGAGTCTTTGGCTCTCTTCCCTTCTTGCAGACAGAGAGAGAGAGAGAGAGGAAAAGAAGAAGAAAAGAGGAAGATAGAAAAGGAACAGAGAGAAATTGTGAGAAACTTGCCAGAAAATTCTAGTTTCAGCCATCTAATAACACCATCAGGAAGGTAGACACTTGAAAGCTTGTATATATTAAGAATTAGAGTTAAGACACTTCACCCCTAGCTGTAAGCCCAGGTCAGTATATCATACATCTACAGCTTCCACTATTTTTGTTTTCCATTTTTTTTCCCTTTGCAATCTGGTCATCTCATATTTCATTTGTTTCCTTTAGTCAAATGAAATGGTCTAGTTGTGTTGCAGGTTGTAATATTGTCGGTTCTTCAAATTATTGGCTTGAACATTTATGGCAAGTAACCAAGCAGCATCTTCTTCAAACTCTTCCAACTCCAATTCAACCCAAAGAACTTGGAAGTATGACATCTTCTTGAGTTTTAGGGGTGAAGACACTCGTAAAGGCTTCACTGGCCACTTGTACCATGCGTTAAAGAGGAGTGGATTCACAGTCTTTAGAGATGATGAAGAACTTGAGAGAGGAGAGGTCATTTCTGAAGAACTCAAACAAGCAATTGAGGATTCTCTCTTTGCAATTGTTGTTCTCTCAAAAAATTATGCCTCTTCTTCATGGTGTTTAGATGAGCTTAAGCATATTCTTTACTCAAGAAACAATTTGTCTCAACAAGTTTTTCCCATATTTTATGATGTAAATCCATCTGATGTACGGCATCAAAGAGAAAGTTTTACCAAAGCTTTTGTCAGGCATCAGATGCTTCAAAGGGACAATGATATCATGGAAAGTTGGAGAGATTCTCTCAGAAAAGTTTCAAACTTATCTGGTTGGGATTGCAAGGATCGGTGAGTCAATTTCTTATTGGGTAAAATTATGCAACAAATATTTTATATTTATATAATCATTTTATGGAACATATATTGATCTAGATGCAGTCAGACTATTTATTTGACATCTATTTGTTCTTATTTTAAAAACTTAAAAAATTAATTGTTAAGATGAACATTTTAGTTGTAATACACAATTATACCTTGTATTGCAAGTGTCATGATTCTTCGTATTGTTTATTCAATTGTTCTTTCCATTTCTGTTTCCCACTATTTAATAAATGAGTTCTCACTGCTAAATTTTGTGGAAAAAAGAATTGTAAAACTTTTTCAATACAATTATTTGACATTAGTGCTATTAGTTATATTTGAGTATTGTGGAATCAACTTTATAGTTCTTGGTCATTTTTTAGTTATGTTGTCATTTATTCTTATAAATTTTGTAACTATTCCTTTTTTTTTGTATTCGAAGTTAAAAGTTTAAAATTTAAAATTTGTATTTTGTTAATTTGTATATTTTTTTTTCACATCCACAACTTTTTATCCTTGAACTGAAAAGTGTTAACATCACAATTAAATTAAAGTGCTCGTTGAAAAAAAATAAACAAAAACCGCATGAAATTGTTTCAATGTGTTGATAATACAAAAGGAAAAGAATATTAACAATTGCAGACATTGGAGTAACAAATATTATATTACTTCCAATCCTAATTATAAGACATCGTTTATAGGTCTTACAATTAGGATCGGAGGTAGTATAATTGCAGAATAAATCAAAAGTTATATTTCACATGGCCATTCATACGTTGTTGTAACTTATAGGTCTGAAGCAGAACTTGTTCAGACAGTGGTTGAGGAGCTGTGGACCAAATTTCGTCCTAGACTGCCACCTTATACTGAAGGACTCATTGGAATTGACAATAAAGTGAAACAACTGGAGCCATTGTTGGAGATAGTTTCAAATGATGTTCGGTTTGTAGGAATATGGGGCCTAGGGGGTGTTGGGAAGACAATAATTGCTTGGGCTGTTTTTGAGAAATATCGTAGCCAATTTGATATTAGTTGCTTTCTTCACAATGTCAGGGCAACTTCAGAAAAAGATGGTGGCGAGGTTCAGTTACAAAGCCAATTGCTTTCACATCTCAAAATAAGAAACATGGAAATTGAAAACTGCTATGAAGGGAAGAAAATAATCCAAAACCGTTGTTGCAATAAAAAGGTTTTACTTATCCTTGATGATGTTAGCCATACAACCTATCTAGAAAATTTGGCTAATAGCCCAAACTGGTTTGGTGCTGGGAGTAGAGTGATCATAACAACTAGGCATTTAGACTTGTTGCGCGGAGCGTGTGTAGCATATCAACATGAGGTTAAAACTATGAACCCAAATGAAGCCCTTCAACTCTTTTGTCAGACAGCATTTAGAAGAAGTGAGCCTCAGGAGGATCTATTGGAGCTGTCTAAAATTGTTTGTGATTATGCCGGAGGCCTTCCTTTAGCTCTCTCTGTTTTGGGCTCCTTTTTCTATGGAAGAAGTATTGTGCAATGGGAAGATGCTTTGAATATGTTGAGCAAAGATGCTTTGGGAATGTTGAAGAAAGATCCCCATAAAGATATTTTTGGGATACTTAAAATAAGTTTTGATGCATTAACCAATATAGAACAAGCAATATTTTTAGATATTGCTTCCTTCTTCAATGGTTGGAGCAAAAACAAAATAACAAAAATATTAGAAAGTTGTGGTTTTAATGCAAAAATTGGAATAACAACTCTCCAGGAAAAATCTATGCTGAAGGAATATGGCAGTATTTTGGTGATGCATGATTTGGTAGAACAAATGGGTAGGAAAATTGTTGTGGACAAGTCCTCTAATTGTGTTGGAAATCGTAGTAGATTGTGGACTAATGAAGATATTGATAAAGTTATGCAAAACAATTGGGTGAGTATCGATCTTATCTCTGATTGGTTTTAATATATTTTACATGTTATTAGGTTTTAATGTATTTTACATCTCATTAATTTCTTGTATAGTAAATTTGATACCATTTTTCTTGTGGCTAATCTTGTTTATTAGGGTACAAAAGAAATAGAAGGTATGATTTCGTCCCAATTTCGTGAGGCATTTTGTGGTCCTAAGCCATTTTCAACATTACATAATGTTGTTTATCAAGGCACAAGAGAAATACAAGGTGTGATTTCATCCACATCTTGTGAGGCACTTTGGGATCCTGAAGCATTTTCAACATTGCGTAACCTTAGATTACTCATGATATCAAGTGATTTCCATGTTCCTGTTGGCCTCAAATGTCTTTCTCATGCTTTGAAAGTACTTTATTGGACAAAATATCCTTTAGACACTCTTCCTTCTGGAACTCGACTGCATGAACTTGTTGATCTTAGAATGCATCATAGCAAATTAAAAAAACTTAGCTTGGTAAGATATCTTATCCTTTGATGTTGTTGATAGTGTCATTGATTATCATAGTTAGCAAAATACATATTTTTTTCATTGGTTCTCATACATTTGTTTGACCAGTGCTCGAAGAATCTGAAGTTTTTGGACTTGCGTTTTTCCAAAAACTTGATCGAAACTCCTCATTTCTCTAAACTCCCAAATTTGGAAAAATTAGAACTTGAAGGTTGTGAAAAACTTGTTGACCTTCATGCTTCAATTGGACAACACAAAAAGCTTCAGGTATTGAACTTGAAAGGTTGCAAAAGTCTTACAGCCTGTTGTCCCAAAAAACTGGAAATGACTGCGCTGAAAGAATTTGTTCTTTGTGGGTGCACTTGAGTAAAATTTCTCCCAAAGTTTGGGGAAAATATGAAAAATCTAGAAACACTTGATGCTGGGGAGACAAATTTAGTCAAACTTCCCGAGTCACTTGGCTTGTTGACTGGTCTTAAAGCTTTGAAATTAAGGGGTTGCAAAAATCTTGTTTGCCTTCCTCGAAGCATTCACAATTTGAAATGTCTTGTACTTCTTGATATTGCTGGGTGTTCAAAATTTGCTAGATTGCCAGAGAAGTTAAATGAAATTGAAGCCTTGGAGGAGCTGGACGCAAGTGAAACGGATATAACAAAAATACCTTATTCCATTGGTGGTTTAGAAAAACTCAAGGAATTGTCATTCGGTGGGTGTAAAAGGTCAACGTTGAACTCTTGGAGCATGATTCTTCCTTGGAGGCATTCAATTCACAAGGGCTTAACATTGCCTGCTTCAATATTCAATCTTAGATCACTGGGAAAATTAGATTTAAGCTACTGCGGTATTGATGATGGATCCATTCCGGATGACTTCGGTGGCTTATCATCGTTGTGGATGTTAGATCTAAGTGGAAACAAGTTTAAGAATCTACCTGCTGGCTGCATATCAAATCTTTTGAATTTGGAAATTCTGAAGATGAATTCTTGCACGGAACTTCAGTCGTTGCCGCAGATTCCGCCCAGAGTATGGAAGATGCTTGCAGAAAAATGTGATTCATTGGATACAGTGGAAGGTGAACAATTATCACATCTCTTTGCTTCAAGGGACCGGGTATATACATATAGTCATATATCATCATATAATTATATGTATTTATTTTGTGTTTAATCATACTATATAATTTGATACGTGATTATTTATCGATTTAGGAGCACCTATTTGCACGTGGTTGTTTCACGATGATGATTCCTGGAAGTGAAATATCACCATGGTTTGAGAATCAAATCAATTTTTATCTAGATCATAAAGGCGAAGCTTTACTGATGATAGACATACCTCCGTGCGAAGAAATATTGGGAATTGGATTATGCGCTCTTCTAGAAGGTGACTTTTATTTCATAGAAGAGAGGTGGCCTCTTTTGTTGATGCATGATTTTTGGTTTTATGTGGGTCCGAGTCGCGAAAACCATGCTATGCCAGCGTCTAATTGTAAGGGTGGGGAGAAAAGAAAGTCTTGTCACCTCCGAGTCTTCTTTTACTATCCAACAAAGTATGACCGTGATATGTGGCAATCAAGGAAGTACAGTCAGATTCCCTTCGTATTTAAAGCCCTTCCCGTCGACGCGAAAGTTTCAATAAAGTGTGGATGGCATGTCATCTGCAAAGTTGATGTTGAAAACAGCGGTAGCTCAAAGAGTCAAAGTCTCCTTCCAATACCAGAACAACAAATGGACCGAGTAAGTCACTTCCATTAAACTCAGTTTTTTCATTTTTATTTCAAGCTACCTTCTCCATCCCTCTATCTTGTAAACACTTAACCCACATTATACACACTCTTTTGAGTCCTAAACATACATAGCACCATTTTAACTAATTTATTAGTATTAAGAATATGTGTGCAATTAGTCAAATACTCCCTCTGGTCCTATAATATAAGATATTGGTTAAAAGAAATTTGTGGTCCAAATATAAGACATTAAGGAATAATTAATGTGATTTTTTCACTTTTGTCCCTATTAAATATAGAAGAAATATGTGAGATAATAAAAATATAATACTAAAAGAACTTTATCATTTCTTTAGGATAAAATAAGCAGACTTTATCATTTTAGAACACATTTAATGACTACACTTCTATTTCTTAATGTGTGAGAAAAATTTAACCAATTTTGTATACTATGCATTAGAGATAGTACTCTTTTACAATTATTCCTTCCTAACATTATACAGAATGAGATATAGTAACTATAAGAGTAGTGACCTTCTTACCAAAGTGAAAATTGAGCTTTTTTTTTTCACTTACAAAAGAAAATGAAGTATTAACTAGCCAGGGGCATTTTGATGTAAGAGAGTAAATGAGTAGATGGGTTCTTTTTCTTTTTTTTTTTGGGGCTGGTGGATAGATGGGTTCTTCTTGTGTTGATTGAGGGCTGCAACACATCGTGCAGGTTGTTGATCATAACCTGGTGCCGATGACAGGCCTTGGGAGTCCATGGCATTTCCAAACCGCATTCACGAAAGATGGTCCAATAACGCTCCCAGACTCACGTTTAGATCCAAACCTCGGTATTCCGCACAAATTCCTCTAATATATTGTCTCTGGTTTTATATATTATATATTCATACTATCAAACAAATTAATGAATTTCCCTATATTCACTATCTTGCACTACGAAGTGAAGTATTTATTACCTTTTAAAAATTAATTATTTTTGTTTACAACTTTTAATATTTCCACGCAAACTATATCTTTTTTCATCCTGATAAGATAATTGGAAATAATTTATCATAATGATGATTGGAACAATATTTTAGTATGATATCAATATTATATTGGTTCTTGACCAGAGGAAAATGCCAATATCAATATGTTGGAAGGTTAACCCCTCCCCCACTCTTTAATTTTAGGTTAGGTTAATGTAATTTCTCATCTCTCAAATTTAATTTTATTTTAGTTTTGGTCTCTTAAATTTTAAACTATAAGTTCTAGTCTTTTAAATTTCTTTTCATTTAAAATACTGGTCCTTATAATTTAATAAAAATTTAAATCATTTTGCCTATTGAGAAATCAAACCAAAATAAGAATAAATTTGAGGTAATAAAAATTATATTAATCTTCTTATGTCGTCTCTGTTGTGTGGGAAGGTTCATGGAAAGAAAAAGAAAAGTAACAAAAAAACATCTATTAAATTTTGAAAATATATAGAGGTCATATTGATTATTTTTATAATGATTTTTATTATTCTCATAATGGTTTTGACTTGTTAGAATTTATCAAAATCATCTATATATTTATCATTTTGAAATTTAACAAATATCTTTTTTATCATTTTTCAAAAAAAAAGGGAAAAGAAAAAAGAGACCCATCCCAAGCAATACCCGTTTTATTTAATTCACAAGACGTACAAAGCAGATATGTTGAGGTATTGTTAATAGACTTCAATGTAATTGTGGGACATCAGACAGCAACCTAAAATTCTAAAAATTAAATGTAAATAATGAGTAATAATAAAAGATTAAAAATCAATAAGCGATCATTTTTGGCATTGAGCGATCGTATGTTTGAAAATTAGTAGTGTGAATTTAATTCTAAGTATAAAAAGTTGATTTACTTTATCTCTCACATTTATGTATTTAATAGGTTTTCATTTGTGATTTTTATTTCTCAATCTTTAAGGTGATGAACAAGCGGGATTTTGTTATTTTCATCCCCAATTTTCTTTTTTCCCCAATTAAATTGAAATGTCCATTAGTTAAAATTGTATCGAATATATCAAGGGAAGCCTCGAATTGTTCAGGTCAGGTTGACTTGGTGCTTGTTTGCAATCACTTAAATAAGTATTTATAAGCAAGTTTTATAAGTCAAGAGAAAGTTTTTTTACATACTTACCTCATAAACTGTAAACTACAATTAAAAAACTGTTTATAAGTCATACTAAGTGGATCTTTGATTGTAGGCACACAAGTCGAAGTCATGTGGGATGGTGCATAATAAGGTTTGAGACCAATCCCAAACAATACGCATTATTGGGTTTGTTTTTTTTTTTTTTTTTTTTTTTTTTTTGTTTTTGAGAGAATCAGAGAGACAAACCTACCGTGGATAATATTTATTTAAATGGATATTTAAAAACTAAAAACTGTAATTATTTAAAAGGATCAAATGCTAAAATATAAATTTAAAAATATTAATTTAGTTTGTTTCTAACCAAATCCCCTATATTTCCTCTCTATTTTTAAAACGAAAGGATCAAAACTTACTCGTATTAATTCAAAGTAATCGCCATTACAAAGCTAGGAAGCAATTTTAGTTAATCAAATTAAATTTACGTAACAACCGACAGTAATTAATTTATTTCCCCATCATTTTTTAATTAATAAAACTCTTTTTTGGCCTTTTTGGAATAATGAGCCTATTAAAGTTATAAAGTTTAATTGTTATCTATCTATTTATTTATTATATACTATCATTCTATCTCATGCCTTATAATTTTGATATAAGATTAAATTGAATCCTCTAAGTTAATACAACTACAAATTTAAAAATATAATAAAATAATAAATAATATATAACTTAATTCTTTTTTGACCTGAATATATAACTTGTTCATAACTTATAAAAATAAGTAAATAAGGTATTGTAGCAATTTTTATGCATGTTACCGCTTAATATATTCATATTGTGTGGTACATAATGTTGGCATGTCGTGCTCTAGACTTTGATATCATTTTCTTTGTAGAATCTTAATGTGATTTTTGATACTTGAGTCATTAATTATTAACATAATGAAAGTCCCAGCTCTTTTATCTGTGAAATTGAATACTTAGAATTTATTAGGGAAAAATAAAGAGGAAAAAATACAATAAACACTGAACCCAAATAGAAAGCTCTTTTATTCAATATTTAATGCTAACTCCGATTCTTTATATAAGAGTTAAATAACTAATTTAAGAAAGATTAAGAAAATTTGTTAAGCTAGTTATTTATAATAAACCTGTTTTGACTTTCCTAAATTACCTTATTTGATCATGTGTCTTAAAACTTCGCTTTGGTAAGAACTCTTACAATCAATAGTGATATTTTGGAAAAAAAACATTATAAATTTGAGAGACAAAAATGGATTGAAGTCTTATAATTAGAATTAAAACTATCATCCCAACTAACTCTTATATTTAGAACCAGAGATAATATTTGGTATTACTCCTCCGGTCCTTAATGTAGGATTTAATTGTGAAATTAATTTTAGTCCTAAACATAATATCTATTTCTTATATCTATCAATTTTTTCCAAGTCACCCTTATTGATACTCCTTCAACCATAATTAAGTATGAGAGGAAGGGAGGAGATAATGAAGATGATTAAGGTATTTTAGAAAAAAAACATGTCATATTTATTATAACTTACATAACTTTCTTAATTTAATTAGATTAGTTAAATGGGTCTTATATTAAAGACAAGAGGAATATTAGCTCAATTTTTATCAAACCTAAATAGAGGTAGCTCTTTCAATTTTATGTTTTATATTTAGGTGGACTTAAATTTGAATTCTCGCACTTAAACTATTATATACAGCTACTTTTATTACCAGTCCTAATCTGGGACAGAATACTACACCTACACTCCTCCATGGTTGAAAATTTTCCTTACTGGTTCAGCTAGCTCCACGTTTTACATGCTCATTATGTTTGCTTTATTCATATTTCACCATTTTCATTGGCTGCTTTGCCTCCGTAAACTTCATTATCTTTGAGCTCCTTGTATCCGCAAGAGGTCAACAGATGTACTTTTTTGATTGACTTTGTTGTTGCATTTCAATGCAGGGTTCTGACTTTAGTTACATAGTTTATACAATTTTAACAAATGAGGAGCTCAATTAAGCTTTTTATATGAATATCATGTACTAGTGTTTATCGGATATAGAGCACCCAGCTTTAGTCTCTAGGCGAAGCACATATGACAGTTTTTGTTTGGAAATCTAAACATAAGTATTTTGGGCTTTTGAAACTGAGCTTGTGAAGGCTTCATTTTTATTTCTGAAATTTTCCAAACAATCTTCGAAGCGTCTATAGATAACGCAGTTTCAAATTGGTATGCCTTTTTTCAAGGAAACATGGCTTTATAGGGAACTAATTTTAGCGCTCATTGCGGTGCTCATCGCATACAACATTCAGATGCAACTTTAATCGTCTAAATTTAAAATTTTTACCTAATAATTTTTAAATAAAATTTTTTTTTAAAGAACTTACAGTTAAAAGATTATATTTATTTTGGAGACTATCTATCTATTAAACGAAAACATTCAAAAAGACATATAACAACAACAAATCTTATCTCGGTAGGTGGGATTAGTTACATGGATCGCATGATACTATTGTACTTTATCAACAACCAAATTTTTAAATAGATTTTTAACTAGGAGATCTCTTTTAATAACTTCATTGAGCGTTCTTCTCAAAAAATGATTTCAAACTGTTTGATATGTTCTTCTCATCGATGCTTCTAATAACCTTTTTTATAGATGCCCAAACTACCTCGAGTGATATTCAGTTGTTTTCTCTTTGATAGGCATCATACTTACTCTTGTTATGATATTTTTATTTAAAAAAACATAAATGTAAAAATTTAAATCTCAACCATTTTTAAATTTGCCCGTTGAGGTTTAATGAGTATGATGATCTGGTGGAAACTGTTTCTCTTTTGTGGTGGGTTTTAAACATGATTTGATTGAGGGGACGCAAGTTGGAGTGGTGTACGAAGGTACATGGAAAGAAGAACAGGGACCCATCCCAAACAACACACGTTATTGAGCTTGTTTTATCATCGCATGCCTCTCATCAATTGGGATATGTGTCATTTCGCCATTTCATGAATCAAATTACTGCCGGCTTTTCTCGTTTTCTCTTGTCAAAAGGTGAAAATCCATTTCCCTTGTGATTTGCGAGTCCATTTTTTTCCTCGTAGCTCTCACGTACTTTTACACGCTCAACTTCTGAAAGAAAAGCTGATATATTTGTCCGAGCTTTATGGAAAAGAATTTGTGACTTAAATTAACTAGAACTATACTGATTGTTAGTCGTTGACAATTAGGAAGCACACGGAAAAGCTTGGCTAATCATCTCCAATTGTTTGCGGTTGAGGTGGAAAACGCATACACACGCCCACATCAATGTATATGAACTATGAAATGATCATATCATCTTTGAATTTTTTTGAAGTTTAGTTTAATGATTTTAAATTGAAATTGTGCTCTCTTATCTTTAAGTCTTTAATTTCCTATTATGAAAATTATACGCACACTTTTGATTTTGATGTTGCATCGTTGACGTTTGTGCTGCTGGCAATACAAGCAAAACGAACCCAGCCATCGCAAAGTCACCATCTGAGACGCGTTCTTCGTCAAATTGCTCTATTAAAAATTGTAGCATACACGGGGTAGACTGGGAGTCCTTACACTAGGTTGACTTGATTATGGTGATACACGTCGCAATCATGTGGGAAGGGGCATGGCAAGAATGCCTCGATCCTAGCTTATTTATAAAAAATAAATCAATTATAATTGGAAGTAGTATTTTCCTTAATTTCATATTCATTTTTCCAAGTGCTTGGTCAATAAAAGCACTTATGTCTTTGGGCATACGGTGACAAGAGGTATCCGGGAAAGATCACATGCGTGCTGTCAGTCGCAAGTCTTGAAGATTGTATATTATATACATATATATATATATATAAAGCTTATATATACATATATACATATATATATATTAAGCTTTACAGTTTAGACGCTTCCCTCATATAGCTGTCAGCCCAGCTCAGCATATATTATATATCTACTCCTTTTTTCCCCCCTATTCTCACCATCTCATATTCTGATCATCCAAGACATTTCCTTCGGTTGTTGTAGCCCGTGATATATATTAGCGGTTGATCAAATTATTCCTCATAAGTTGGCTCCTACATCTACGGGAAATAACAAAGAAGCATTTTCGTCAGAATCTTCTAACTCCAGTCCAACTTGAACAACCTGGAAGTATGACGTTTTCTTGAGTTTTAGAGGTGAAGACACTCGTGGAAACTTCATAAGCCTACTTGCATCGAGCGTTGGATGGGAGGGGACTCAAAGTTTTTATAGGCTATGTATTGACAAGAGGAGAAGTTATCTCACAGGAATTTCTGCGAGCAATTGAAGAATTTCGCTTTGCAATTGTTGTTCCCAAATTGAGGCTCATTCATAGAGAACTTGTTTTGTTGAATTTGTGCACCATGAAGAAGAGAGCTAAAATGTGTTATATGCTTCATTCCAAAAGAAACTGGCATGTCTGGTTATATTCTAGATGAACATGTTGCTTGATGGTTATGGTTGACAATTTAGACCTTAATTATGTCTGTTTCATAATTTATATTTCAACTTTTGCACTATATAACTCTATGCCACTCCCATAGTTAATTAAGGGGGTGTCTGACAACCTCCAAATCATGATTTCAGAGATACTTTTCTGCAAAACGAGACAAATTTCTCTACATATTTATTTCGTAAACTGTAAAAGCACTTCTGAAACCATAATTTGATTTCTATCCAAACACCCTCTAAATGTTCGATTATGTTCGTGGCCTTTGTTCTTGCATCAATAATAATTTAACAATGTCCACTTGTGATTCAATTGAAGGCACACGCAAGTTCCTACTTCAAAACAGAATCATCCAAGGGAGAGATCAGAGCAGGATATATTAAAAGAACTTTTATTTTTCAAGTTCCAGACTTTACAGACACTAATTTATTTAACTTTGTAAAATTCTAAAGTTAAATTTTGTGAATCAATTATTAATACACACACTCGTATATTCAGGAAATGCTGGGAGTATGCCAGGTTGATTTGACTGTGGTCCTTGCTCATTCTCATTTACTTTCCACCAACGATTGGGGGGGGGGGGATGAAGCCCTCAGTATTCACAATATTAACCATATTGAATGTGTTAGCATATAGTACTTCTGAGCCCGTTCATGAAAAGCAAATCATAATTGTAAGTAGTATTTCCTTACTTAATTTCACATTCATTATCCCAAGTCACATGCAAGAGTAATAACAGCATTTACGTCTTTGCTTCTATTTCATATAATGATATAATTAATTGGAAGGGAGAAAATGGGTTCTCTGCTCATTGTCATGCCTTCTTTTCACTGACCCTTTGGCAATGACATGCGGTGATGGAGCCTAGCGGATTCCATTTGTGATCTGCAGGTAGATATCTACATTGGCGTATTCAGATTGGAAGGTGAGAAAACATTTATCTACTTTTATATTCATAAGAAAGAAAAAGCATTTTAACTTTTAAGATTCATAAATCTTAAAAGTAGACCTTGAAAATGAAAAAGAAAAAGAAAAAGAAAGAGAAGGTGGGGGGTGGGCATAATGAAGTAGCCAGCGTTGTGTATCCCTTAAGTAATATTCAGAAAAGGGTTGCTGAGCACTCTGTTGGTCGAAAGCCACAAGAGTTAATCATTCCACTGTTTCAGGTTCAAAGCTCTTTTTCCGACACCATGTGACTGGAACAGTGACAAACAATTGACATTATTATAGAGTTGGAAAATTCAGTCAAAATTCCCACAAGTTGAGTCTTTAGTAGCTATTTGTTACTTTAATTTTTTCCAACAAGATCTTAAAACTTTCAGAAAAAGGACGATGTGGGCGGCCTCTCTTGTGAATTCTTTTTCTTGGTTCTTCTCCTCCTTCCTTTCACATTTCTTTTTACCGATTTTGCAGCAAAGTCTCCTACTTCATTCAAATGTCAGGGAATCTTCCTTCCTCGGTTGCGAAAGATCTTTGTGAACCTGACGAATGGCATATGGTGGTGGCTATATTAGGTTCCTCTTCCCAACATCTTTGATTCACCGGTTGTGCTTGACAATTTACAGGTTAATTATGTCTGTTTCATAATTAATATTTCAATTTTTGTAGAATACATGCCACTTCCATAGTTAATTATATGTTCGTAACCTTTATGGCCTTTGTTACCGTAGAGCCTCCAGTTTGATCACATGCGATTTTATCCTTAACAGGAATCAACAATCTCCACTTGTGATTCAAGTGATGGTACACAAGTTCCTACTCGAAAGCTGAATCCTTCAAGGGAGAGAAATCATGCTGCTTGTGTTGGTTCCAATGCTAACATGGCAGTGTTGAGGATATATTACCTCTGGTCCTTAATATAAGAGCTACTTAACTAATTTGAGTAGACTAAGAAAGTTTGTTAGTTAATTATTTATAACAAAATATGAGTTGAATTCTCTAAAGTGTCCTTTTAATCATGACTACCTTAGATAAAAATTTCCCTTAATGGGGATAATTTATAAATGAATTATAAATTTGGGAGACGAAGTGGATTGGGGTCTTATATTTATGATCAAATATTAGAGCCGGGAAAACGGGCCGAGCCCATCGGGCCGGCCCGTTTAGGCCCTGAAATTACGAGGGCCGGGCTTGATATTTTTCTCTTAAAATGAGAAACAAGCCCTGGAGGGCTGGCCCTGGAGGGCCGAGGGCTTAAAAGGGCCGGCCCTGGAGGGCCGCGGGCCGGCCCTTTTAAGCCCTTTTATAATTTTTTTATTTTTTATATAATATTAATGTTATTAATTTTTTACATTGTTAATAATATTTCAAATATTTAGTTATTATTATCATTTTAAAATTAAATTTAGTTTTAGACAATAATTTATCTAATTAAATTTTTAAAAAATCGGTTAATTTGGACTTTAATAATGATTTGATTTATATTATATGCGTTGATATTTTTAAACTATATATCTATTTGATAATAGAATATTTTTATGCT